AAAACATATAAAAAATTTTTTTAAAAGTTTTCAAATTTTGACCTGGCCGGGTTATGAAAACCAATTAATTAATTTTGTATGGCCTTATCGTGAGATTTACTAACAAAAATTCTATCTATAAAGTAATTATGCAAGAAAAAATAAACTTTTAAATGTTTCTCGATATAATAAACTTAATTCGTAAACCAAGCTCAAAACCAGTTTATGGCGTTTGACACAGGAACTTTTTAAACAAGTTTGACAAAAAAATAAAGTTGTGTAATATTAAAATTTTGATTGTCATAAAAAATTACAATACAGTGAAACTACTTACTATTACAACAAAAGATACATGTAAAGAGATAACTAAAAATTTAGTAAAAAGTCTTAAGTGTTATAAACTAATAATATAATAATCGTAAATATCAATAATGCTTAAAAAGTTCAACTCGAAGTTTAATAATCTTACAAGTTTTCGAGATTGGGCAGAAATTTATTTAGCACTATGACCAAGCAGTACAAAAAACCACACGAAGATTTATTCACAAGACAATTAGCTTAAAGTTAGACAATAATACTTTATATCTATTTATGTGTTACAAATGCATGGGATTTTGATTGGTTAAAGTTTATGACTAGTTTATGACCTATAATATTTAATCATATGACCCAGGTCATATCACTCATATGACTACTGGTCATAATGTTATAACCTTATGACCTTATGACTTACAGTCATATAACTATATGACCTCGGTCATATTAGGAATATGTTATGACTTATATCATATTCCATCACTGATTAAAGACATATACAAATTTTATAAAAAATTCTGCAAAATGAATTAATATACTTCAAGAATATCAATGAATTCTTGATTTTTCTAAGCTATGAGTAAAAAAATTAAAAGAAATATAATGGCTTGGCTAGTATGAAGCTGTAGAAAATTTTGTCAAAACATTACCAGCTATTCTTTTGCAACTTCAAAATGATAATAGTAAAGTTGCTAGTAACGATTATATAACTAAAGGTTGCTAGGATTTTTTCATTTTATTTATCATCACTAAATAAATTTTATCAAAAGTATAATCTTTATTTTCATGGTATTATTTCTATAATTGATGCCACAATTGCAAATATTCAAAAAACAAAAGCATGTTTAAGCTATCATTTCCAACTTTTTATTGATTATATGAATCCGTTTAATAATAATGATAATATAACTTATTATATGTATATGCTTGCATATAATAGTTGTGATTATGACAACCTATTGCAAGATACTTATGAATATGCAAGTATAGTAACTACTGAAATTAAAAATCATTTTCCAGATTGCCCTTTGCTTACAGCAATGAAAATTTTGAATCCTGTAGAATGGTCCTGTAAAAAAAAAAAATTATTAGAATTTGGTTATAATGAATTGCAAGTTTTATTAAACCATTATGATCATCAAAAACTATTAATAAACAGAATTTTTTACCATTAATAGACTCAGATTCTTGTATTGTAGAGTGATCAGGTTTTAAAAATGTTGTTTTTTCTAATTTTTTGACATTCTTTTCACAAGAATTACTATCTATTTTAATTTGGGATTACTCTGATATTTTTCCTAATATTACTAAACTAGTTCATATTACTAATAGCATTCCTTTTTCAAGTGTAGATTGTGAACGTGGATTTTCTAAGCAAAATGCAATTAAAACTTGTTTACAAAATTCTTTGAATCCATTTACCTTAGATGCATTTATGCAGATTTCATTAGAAGAAGAAAGTAAAAAAATGAATTGGAGTAAAATATATCGTGAATGGTACAATGTAAAAAATAGATATAATGTACAGTAAATTTATAATGATATTGTAATATAAATTACAAGTAATAAAATATTCTTGCAGCATTGAAGAAAATATGTAATACACGGCGTAAAGATATAATGAATAAAAAAAAAAATGAAGCTTGCAACAATAAAAGAATTATCTTCAAATATATTTTTTAAAGTAATTAAATTTTAAGGTGTTCATAATTTTATTAACATCTCCGGCATGAGTTTCAAAATTCCGGTTAATAAAAAGATCGTCGGAAAAAAATCAGGATACGTCGTGCCACAATTTTGCGCACTGCCCGGTATACAAAATATTGCAAAAAAGATTTGAAAAGAAAAAGAAAAATTCAGACAAACAAAATCCC